AGAATGAGAAGGTTCACTCAAGGGCTCTCCATCATAGTCAGAGCTGGTCTCGGGGGCATCCTCAAGATCACCCCCACCATCCACACCTTGTTCTTCATTCTCTTCATCACCCTCATTGGGACCCTCACCAGCCTCATCATCACCCTCATCATCACCCTCATTGCGACCCTCATCAGCCTCCTCATCAGCCTCATCCTCAAGAGGTTCATGGGCACGACCTTCAGGACGGGGGCTGGGCAGGAGGAAGCCTTTGAGCTCAGTGACTTTGTCATCAAGTCCTTTGCCCTTGCTGGAGCGCCACAACCCTCGCAAGGCTCCAACCAATTTCTTCATAATGACAGCTTCATTTGCCGCCAAGCTCATCCGACTCTGGTTCTTGGTGCGGTCTGGCTTGAACACCTTCTTACCAAGCTGGCGGTCAAACTCGATGAAGACGTCCGTCATGAAGTACGCTGATGGAACCTGCAGGCAAATGCAATCTTGTAAGTGTTCATGTAAAAAGGAAGCCTTGAGACATCTTTTGAGCGCATATAAAAACAAGAAACATGTTATACCATACGCGTACGCCGTTCGCACCGCGTGTTTCCCAATCCCAAACCTTCCTCGGCATGAACTGAACTACCGGCTTGATGAACCAGTAGTTAGAACTGACCTCTTTGCTTGTAGGGGTCTTGACAGCTTGGGAATCTGGCAAGGTAAGCAAGGGGCCACCTTTCCACTCCGGCGATTGGAGGATGTTGATGGTGGACACTGGTAGAGCAGCCACCATGGACTTCGCAAGTGTTTCCTTAGGGGCTGGGTACTGACCGCTGAAACAATTCAATGGTCTATCTAGTCACAAAATGAACACCCAAAAGAACAAGTGATAGCCTGAGTGGACGCGAGACCAAGCGGCCACCTCTTCAAGTGTCCACGAAACCTTTCCCGGACCTCAGCGTCCATAATCATTTTCATTTTGGGCAGGCACATACACGATGAATTGGACAGGCACCCAAGCAGGTCCACGGGATATATATATATATATATATATAGCCAGTTTTGATCAGCTCATACACGTCGGTGCGTAGTATGTGGAACATTCAGAAACCAGTGATCAAGAAGAAGTTAAAGAACGTTCTAGTAAATTACCGGCGATGTGACAATGATGTTGACCGTCTTCCGAGTGTAACCACATTGAGGCCCCTGCGAACAGACCTCCATTCGCTGCGAGGACCAAGCTCTTGTTCTTGCACCAGCGCCATGCAACCAGAAGGCTTGGAGCAAGCGACGGGTTGAACAAACCAAAGGCTACGTGAATTGAGCACATGCCCTATGGCCGTGTCCTGTGAGATCTAGTCTTATTTGTGATGGCGTATTTTAGCACATGCCCTATTGCTCTGAGTGACCCGGGACCCAAGACCTGAAATCCATCGGATAGGTCACTGCTCGATCGCACTTCAACTCTGCACCTCAGGCCGGCTGAAGCTGAGCACTGCGCACGGCCGATGACATAGACATAGCCTACTATTCCAATCTTACATCGACTACTATAGATTATCTATCTTATTCACTATCTACCCTCCAACCTCCAACCTTTTGTTTTTACGAGTGAGGTTCTCACATCAAAGCTCCTAGTAACGATGCCAGGAGCCCCTAGTAGCGTCCTTGCTCCTAGTAGTGACATGAAACTTGCAAACGTGCGGTCAGCCAGTTCTTGCACAAAAGATGCAAGATTGCTCAGCGATAGTCTGGGGTCGCAAGACATTGAGATACCAACAGTGCAAAACACACATCATGTTCGATGAACGTTGAACTCCTGAGCTCAACCTGTGACCCCGGCTGGCCGGTGTTCTGCAGCGAGATGCAGCGAGAGCATGGGACACAGGATGGAAGGCCAGAAAACTAAAGCACATGTTCCAACTCACGCGGGTTTGATTCTTGGCATGGTGCGGAAAACTCCACCACACTGGAACATAGAAAGCAACCTAGAATACAATTTCAACATGGGCCTGGAACAACCTGATGCTTTGCTGCGCAAAGCCCCCTGAGCCATTGCGCCGGAAAAAACTGGGCAGCGGGAAGCGGCCAAGAACGGAAGAGGCGCGCCTCTTCCTCACAGTTTTGTGTGTGTGTGTGTGTCTTTCAGTAAAACTTACATGTGTTTGGCCACGTTTGGCCACTATCGGCCTGAACACCACCCCCCCCAAAAAAATAGCCGGTGTATAGGTCTCCCTTCCAACGTTCACCACGTAATTTTTTACAGCGGTTGCTTGTTTGAAACATCCTGGCCTCCACTTTGCGTGGCTGTGAGAACCATAGCTTGGCCATTGAGTCTTCTGCCGAGATAACAGAAGCAGCAAGAACCCAGCATCCAAGCTGCAAAGCGCACACGGCCATACACATCTGGCAGCGGAGCACCCTGCAGCAGCACCAGTGGTAATCGCAGCGCCATACGTACATGGCATGCTTGGCGCTCAACACCAACTCCGTGCCAGCGAGATCTTTAAAATTCTTGCCATGGCCAACCCATTCATTTCCATACAAATGAGAAGGTCGGCAACTCATGACACGTTTGCGATGCCGTGTGTAGAAACGATGTGCTATTGGCACTGTTGGAGTCTTAAGGCTCTGAGCAAGTCGAAGAAAGGTTTGAAATGCCACGCGGACGGCATAAAGGATCTGTCGCAGGCGTGCAAAGCAAAGCAAGCTTCTTCCAGAATGGCTTGCTTTTGTTGATGCGGGCCTGCAAAGAGGCATTGCCATATTGAAGAGGAGGACCCAAGTCGGCCTGCGCCTCAACCACGGTAAGGTCGTGAGCAGCAAGGACAGAACGACAGAACGAGGTCTTTCCGAGGTTGCCCAGTAGACAGTTATGGCAGCGTCCAACTGCAGCCCAACCATAGTGGCCCAAGCTTCCATACAAAGGTAACCAGAAAAAAGGGTATCAGGATCTGCAGCAATGAACTGTAAGTTGTCCACATAGCTGATTTCTCTAAGCCGCGGCTGGAAGCGCTGAAGGTATGAATGGAAGACTTGGTTCAAAAGCACCGTCCCCACACATGACATAGAATCGCCCTCGGGCAGCCCGTGTCGGAGGTGAGCGGGGCAGAGACAGCATATGTCGAACTCTGAACGACCTCTGCATGTCACGTAAGAAGGCCGCCCAAGCTTGTGTCACAGCACCATCAACGCCCAAGTGACGAGCGAGGAAGCAAAGAGGCAGTCTGGGCAGGTGGTTGAAGCATTGCTGAACATGGGCCAACACTCTACAGTACTGCTGGTCAGTGACATGTGCACGCTCCAGGAAAGCTTGAAGCAAAATCCTTGGTCCTTTGACCGGTCAAGTAGCCGCAGCCGTATTCATCAGGAGGAGCGTCATTGGTGAGCATCCACGAGATCGCCCTGGCCCTGGTAGAGCCCCAAGGCCTGTACCAAAGGCTGTATAGTACATAGAGCGTGATGGGTCGATAGTTCCGATAGTGATTAGGCAACACTGCCTGCTCCCTTTTCGCAAGGCATGTAATGATGCCATAGATGGCCTGCTCTTCCTGGGCCTACTCATCCGCACCCTCGCCCTCACCATCCACATCATCCTCGGGTGCGGGTGCGGAGGTGGTGGTGGGGGGGGCGCGCTTGGGGGCGCAAAAGGTGCGACTCCGAGCACCCCTGTCGCTTGCCCAGTTGTGAGGTCATTGAAGTTTGATGAGTTGGTCACGGGTCATCAGCGCTGTGTCTCGGTCTATGCGGTTCGACAAGAAGTGACCTGACTCTCGAGTGCGAGCCTGCACCTGCACATGACTTCAACACCTGATGCGATGGCACTGGCCTCGCCGACTTCCAAGTGTCGCATCAAATGCTTGGAGCAGACAGGTTATTAGGCGCGTGAGCGATCCGGAGGATGGCCGACATCGTTCATATCGCTCCGCGAACTGGTTTTTGCTCTGCAACAAACAGTTTCAACGACTCTCTCCATGCCTCTCACAATGGCATTTTTGGGTTCAATAACCCAGCAGCGCCCATTCTGATGGAAAACTGCTCCATGTTGTTGTTACAATCACCACTGCACTTTCCTGCAGCTCAACCTCATTTCGGGCCCCCAAGGCAGCATGCAGCAGCAGCTCATGTGGTGCTTGCGAAAAGCCGGGAAACGGTTGTTCGCCTGAGCACAACTCTCTCCAGCACTTTTTGTGTCATACAACATTGCCCAACGCTGCCTCTCTCGTACAGTCATTTTCGGCAGCATGGTGGTGCCAAGTGCAAGAGCTGTCTTGGTCACTGAAGAATCTTGGGCAATCCACTTGCAAAAGCGACAATTTGGCTGCCTGCTCTTCCCCGCCTTGTGTGACTTTTTTTGCCTGTGCCCCAGGCAAGCAGGGTCACCAAAATGGAGTGGGTGTTTTTGGAGAGGCTCCATGTGTTGAAAATGATGCGTGCGCTTTCAATGTGGTCATGTTGGTCACCATCAGAACAAGAGCGGAACACCATCGGAACAGGACCAG